TCGGAAGCACCGCATATTTTCAAGCGGAAACTAAAAGTGCATGAATGGTTTTGGTATACCGGTTGACCAACTTTCGGGAGATCATCATTGTACCTCCGACCATCATAAAGTCTATAATCCCGCACGGCAGCTCCCTGCGAGCCCCCTACCGCGAATCCCGAAAGTTCCACCATCCAAAAACAAAGATTAATCCTCCACCCTTCCAATCCAGCCATCCTGACAGTTAGACCTCGGTCACCAGTTCGTGTATTCTCCCCTAATTGTACCACATAGACTCCTTTCACTCCCTCTCCCCCCACCACCTCCCTCGCACAGCAGGAAAAGCAAGGCAAGGACACAAGACACAAAATAGAACTCCCCAAAAACCCAATACATGTACCGAGAGCCAGGATCACGCGCTCCAATCTCCACACATGTCCTTACCCGTACCTACAGTAGGACCTATCCATACCCGCCTACAAATAGGAGTACCTCTCCCAAGCCAGAAGCACAAGGAAACAGGGTGGGGGGTATATTTCTGCATTGGCCCCGGGATACCCGTAGAAATTTTACTATACTAGTACTTTAAGTTTCTTCGATCCCTGCTTGCGGGTACTCGTAGCCCGGGACAAGTACTGTATTGGTACTAGCCCACTAACAGTACTCGAGTACGGTACATGTCAGACATGACCTTTCGGATTCCCAAAGAGAGGATGCAGTGACTCGAACCGGAAAAGGGTGTTTTCGGCAGTACGTGTGTGTTGTACCGCAGCGGAGGGTAGGTACCTAAGTTTATAGTATGATAGGGCGAAAGTGCCTACGAGGGAGTGCGGAATATCATACATGTGGGGGTTGAACGCCACACGAGTCGGGAGAGGCTGTTTCCATGCGGTACATGTGGTACTTGTACTCGAGTACAAGTATGGACCGAAGGGGGGGTTGCGGTATGATATATACGGTATTGTTGATTTCGGAAGTTTGGGGGAACAAAAAGGTGTCATACCGGTACTATACATACTCGGTTGGAATAATGAGTTACCGGTAGTGTGTTCTTGGATTTCCTATCCAATCATATGCCACGCATGATATGCCCTGGCCTGTGAAAGTGGAGTATACCAACCCCCGTATCGGATATCCTCACCTAGCCCTTTGAAGGAAACCTCTGGTTTCCGGAACACAATCACTATCCCGAAGGAACTCTGTCGAAAACTGCAGGAACAAACACCGGGCCCATGTGGTGGAAAAAAGAAAAGGGGAAAAACACCGCCGGAATTCACACGCGTGAAGGTATCACGTCTGCCGTGTCATTCCCAGCTGAAAGCTTGGAAACGGGAAGATTGCTTCTAGTATACGTTAAGGGAATTTAGGTATTATAAACAAAACTTTATTAAAAAAAAAAAAGAATCTCTCACCCCATCATCTCGCGCTTCCATAGCCCCAGTGTCGCCTCTCTCTCCCTCTACCGGTATTCGCCGAACTCATGATACACACAGTCACACACACTTAGCTAACAAACTCAAGCCTCACAACATTAAACTCCACAACGCTGGCAGAATTCGGGTTGGGTGGCTTGCTCTCGTGTACAGTGCGGCGCCACTTCTATCCGGCAAACTCGGCACATTCTACTCGGGCTGGGCTGCGGCGTGATATCCGCGGGAGTGGAGGATCGAAATTGTGTGTTGCAGTAAACTCGCTTAATTTGCTTTGCTTTGGGCGTTCCTTTCTGCTCTTTGATCGTACGAGTGCAGGTACCGTACACAAACCGTGTGATGGAAGAATGCCGCTCTCTTCCAAGACGGTACTGCACTCGAGTACGGAACACGCTGATGAGACACATGAAGTGGGTGTCTCAGAATTACCCTGACAGAGCAGTGTTGTGAGGACCCGTCAGCGCCAAGTACCTAGTCAGGAATAAGGAGTGACAGGGGGTGATAGGGGTCACCAAGGGCTTGGCGCCTGGCACCCCACTGTGAGTTCCAGCTGCGACAGTTACTCGAGTATTTATGATAATAATATTATTATTATTATCGTAGATTAACAATTTTAACCCTAACCCTTCTCTCCCCCCTTAGCACCCTGTCACGATGATCGGTCCCGACCCCTATCACCTTTCAACATGGGTGACGGATCAAGTTGGATTTTGGGGGGTGACCCCCCCGTCACTCACAACATTGTTACAGAGTGCATTTGCGGTTTGGATGCAAGAATTGGACCAGTAACTTAACACTCTGGATGTCTGAGACGCTTATCCGTCACGCCACGGCAATCTCGCACTACCGGTCCCGGGAGCCACGAGAAGAAACCACGACGCACCTGTCACCTGTCACCGCTACTGGTACCGGAGTCGATAACTCTGACTAACCTTTGCTATTCTCATGTATGGGTACCAGTTGGCAATTCAACAAGGATCCGGAAACTTTGGCACTTTTTGGCCCTGATTTTTCGCTAAGGTTTCCTGATCGGATCCTTGTCGAATAGCCAAGTCGTGCCAAGTGGATTTCCCAACAGTCGCGAAAAAGATCCCTGCAGGGGTACAGTGCAGAAGGTTGGGAATCCTTTTGTTTTCCCTAAGAGCCCTTTTTTTAATTAGCACTTGGCAAGCCACTAAACTCGAGAATTTAGAGTACAGGTACCGATATATCCAGTTCTTCGAAGCGGAACTTACACTACAGGTACTGTTTGCGCCGCACAGTACGGCCCGGAGTGAAGGCTATTGCGCAATCGAGCTCTGAAAAGAAAGAGGGGGGGAAAAGAGATAAGAGAGCTCTGGACTCCCGTCCGCGACCTTTTTTTAGGGAAATCTCCGATAACTAACCTTTGTTCCCTGTAAGGGGGAGATACAATTTATGAGACTTTATTCTAGAGGTTTCACTGATCTTGGGCACTTTTCGACCTGGCATGAAAACTAGCTCATTGAGGATGACGCGGGAGCGTCCGGGGCTCCCGTTTGGGTCCAGGGAGAGAATATGAAAACATCGTTCTCCAGCACCCAGCTATGGCAACTTATGGGATAAAGAGAAAATACGGCAGACCCCACCAGGAGGGGCTACTGAAAGTTCGGTCCAGTACTAGGACAAAAGTCGGAGCGAGATCCTCAATTATCCCAGCTTTCACCGCAGTCACAGCCTACAACCAGGAGAATAGCCGAGCAAACAAAAAAAATATATTGTTATTTTTCACGGGTTACCTGCATGGGCTGGGAAAAAAGAAAAAAACCCTTCCCATACGATACCAAAAAGGGGGAGATAACCTTCAGGGGCTTCTCTGACAGAGAGACCTCTTTCTACGGTACGGTACTTGCACCTCACGAATTGTGTACTCGAGTACTTGTGTGACACGTGCGGTGGGTCGATTCCCTTTGTTTCGGGAAGTAACGTTGGACAGGTGCAGCTGCACTTCGGCGTATTGAATCGATTGACAGAAGAGGACAACAGGGTCCTGGCAGTTGCGTTCCGAAATCGGGGAGATAGGTACCGTACTGTCGTGAGGAATCCCTATGGCGAGGATTTCTATGGGGGTTCATAGTCAGCCTTGGTTGTGGGCGTGAGCGTTTTCTTGTCTCTTGTATTAAAGAAAAAAAAGGTCGGCGGTGGTCGGACTGAATTAGTCGGGATAAGTCGATGTCATGGCGTGATTGACGGTGCGGGTGGACGCCAACCTCATTCCACCTGAGTCAGTGCCTATGCTGCGGGTAGTCTAACCAGAGACCCTATGATACAAGTACAAGTGCAAGAAAATCCAATTCGTCAGGCGATGGAAAGAACGTGAAAAAAACTCCACTATTCTTAATCTCTAAATAAACTTTTCCCGGGTTCTTCCTGTGCCCGTGCCAACCTTAGCCTTGACCGCCGCACGCCATCCCTAATTGAGCCTCATATCATAGCAACCATGCATTATCAGCCAAGCGACGGGCCCTTGCCGCCTCGTGCAACCATGCCATGCCTTCCTCCTCCGAACTTGGGTATAGCAAAGCTGTTAAGGCGGCATTTTACCTGTAGGGCAGCGGGTTGGGGGATTTGCTTGCAAGGAACTGAAACAAAGCCCCAAGAAGGTAAAAAAAAACAAAAAACGATTCAATTGGACTGAGGTCTGAGACCTCTGCCCCAATCCTAGGGGAAAATGAAACAGTTTGGATAGAATGGGAAACTCTCCCTACCATATGCTTTGTCTTCGGCAATTATGAAAACATGATACCCGTACTCGTACAGTACCGTATATCCACTCACGAACACTCTGCATGGGGGTGTTGCTGTCTTTAGTGCTCGTACCACCCGGCTGGCTTCCGCTTCTCAATCAGGTTTAGAATATGCCGACCCCAGCCACAGATCTGAGCTCTCGCGTCCGTTTAGGGATATAGCCACCTTACACCATGCTCCATCGTGCGGATTACACCTTTTCACCTCGTCACCTAAACCACCCTCCTAATGAATGCTTCGAGAGTACTAGTGCCGGTACAAATGTTGTGCGATTTGCGCTTGAGAAGGAAGAGACCATCGAATACGGCCGGATGATTTATAGGGAGTGGGCGGGTAGGTCACACTGCAGCAAACTTGTCCCAATCGCACGCGGGAGGACCGGTTTATTCCTTGCAGAGCCCATACAGTACAGTGCTGCCATATCATGCTTGCCCCCCCCCTGGAATTCTGAATAGCTGGTAAATTAACCAGGGCTGGTTATCTACGGCGCTGTAATCGAGTACCGTTATGTACTCTGTGAGCATCTACATAGTGCCTTCTAATTGTGCAGGAGAGCGTGGTGTGTGCGCGCGGGAATCCGTATAAACAATGCTTCTTCCCATTTCTCAAAAAGTTTATTCTGTCCCTCACTCCTTCAATAGGATCGATTTCCCTCCCTTCTCCCTAAGTTCGCTCGCTCGCGGGTTTCTTCCTTCCCTCTTCCTCACTCAAATCCACACCCCCATCTCTTGCTTATGATATTGAATTGCATCTTGAGAATATCTTAATTAATTTCTAATTCGACCGGGGAGGGAGAGAAGGGCCAGGAAGTTACGGTGAAGCACGATGGGTGGGCTTCGGAGGATTGTCACTGCGGTGTTAGCGGTGGTTGGAGCAGTAGTGGGGGAGAAGGCATCGAAGAATCCGACGGATACTATTACTAGTGGTGGTATGTTGATATCCTTCTTGAAATTGCCAGAAGGGAAAAGAATTGGTAGTTGATGAAGTGGATAGGATCAAATTCGAGAACCGGCTACCAGCCAAACCACAACCTTGATCCAAACATCATAAAATCAGGAACCTTCAATCAGATCTGGAAGACGAAGGGATTAGGAACCTATAATGGATTCACGGAACGTATGACTTCCCATAAATCGTGACACCCAATTCTCCTGCTAATAAATCTCCCTCAGAGTTCTACGCCCAACCCTTAGTTTACACCCCCCTCGACACCCAATATGTATATGTGATCTCCCAGCAAAACATTGCCTACATCCTCGACGCTAAAACTGGGGAGATAATCAAACATCGCACAATCCACGTTCCATTCCTGGTCACCCCAGATTTAGCTGGCTGCAACGACGTGGCAGACTGCGTCGGTTCAACCGCGACGGGAGTAATAGATCCTGACACGGGGACATGGTTCTTCACTACGAAGACCTACGCTGATCAGTCCAAGAACACCCCGCAGGGGCTTGCCGCGGGGAGGTACTATATCCATGCTGTGGACGTACTAACCCTGGAGGAAAAGACCAATTTCCCGATCCCGCTGGAAGGAATGAAGGCGGATAACGCGCCGTGGAGGGTTTTCGAGGGTGGGAAACACCATCAGAGACCGGCACTGCTGCAAGTTAATAACTACGTCTACGCCGGCTTCGCAAGTCACTGTGTGCAGTGGAACTTCACCGGGTGGGTCGTAGGCTGGCATGCCACCGAGGGACGTATAGTCACGAAGTACGCCATGGAAGGCGGAAAGGAGACAACCGGAATCGGAGGTGGGATCTGGATGAGCGGTGGTGGTATCTCAAGTGATAATCCTGGGAGAATGTTTTTTGCTACCGGAAATGGTTATGCGAGTCAATTGGCTGACGACCCGGTCCCCGGACGGCAACCGCCGACTGCGCTCGAAGAAGCTGTAGTCAACATGGCGATTGGGGAAGATGGAAGTGTGACGCCGACTGATTGTAAGTGTTGAGTGATTTATCATGACTCCACCTGTAGTGACTAATACCGATGATAGTCTTTATGCCTTGGGAAAAGCGTGATCTGGACGGTATGGACAAAGATCTTGGCACCTCCAGTTTTGTCCTGCTGGAACCGGGTGTTTTTAGCACGTCCGGAGTCCAACGTATCGGCACCGTGGCTGGGAAAACCGGAAAACTATACTTCTTAAACCTGGACGACCTGGGCGGCTACCAAATGGGCGAAAACCGGAAGGACAAGATTCTCCAGACGATCGCTCTGGACGGCCCGGTATTTGCTTCTGCGGGGACTTACCCGCATGACGGGGGATATGTCTATCTTTCGCCTGTGGGGCAGCAGACTATAGCCTTCAAGTTTGGAATAAACTCGAACGGCGACCCAGTGTTTACTCAAGCCGGTAAAACTACCGAGACCACCGCTGGAAGACAGGGTGTCGGGCATACTACTGTGACTTCAAAGAACGGGGAACCCGGCTCGGGAATTCTTTGGGTCTCGGACGTGGACGGGGCCAATCTTCGGGCGTACGGCACTGTCCCTGTTAACGGGGTCCTGCCTACTCTCGCTCTCCTGAATAATGTCGGCCAAATGAAATTTTCCCGACCCAGCTTCGGTGATGGACGCGTTTACTTGACTTCCCACACAGGATACATAACAGCCTTTGGTTCTCCTGTCAACATGCCGTTGAATTGCTCTTCACCGTACGACGCAGGGACAGTGCCTATCGGGAATACCTCCACCGTGTCGATAACCTGCCGAGCAATTACCCCCTTAACTATCAATGCGACAACCCTGGACGACAGCACCAACTTCCGAGCGTTTGGCTATACGTTGCCAAAAACACTAGCAATCGGCGAGACCTTCTCCTTCAGCGCAAACTTCACTCCGAAATCTGTTGGGCCGCTGAGCACAAATATCAACCTCCAAACAATCAATAGCGGAACAGAAAAATTCTCCACCAACACGCCTATTGTCATCCGGGGTGTCGCCATATCCTTGAATCCCATCCTCACGATACAACCGAACGTCTTGTCGTTCGGGGAAGTAATCACGGGTGAAGATACGGCGGGAAAAAATCTGGACTTTACAATGGAGAACGACGGACAATCACCGCTGGTCATTCAGAGTTACAAAATCTCCCTCAATGCTCCAACCGGTCCCTTTCTCCCTGGGCAGCCGTTTCCACTGAAGGCCGGGCCGTTCACCTTTGCGGATTTGCCCGCCTTGAACTCAAGTATCCAGGGCAACGGCGCCGTCTCCACTACCGTAAATTTCAATCCCACAGCGGACGGCTACTACAAAGCATATCTGGTGATAGCCACCAACGGCGGGTCGAAATTCGTGGGTGCATTTGGAACGGCCGGAGGAAAGCCCAAGGCGCTGCTTGAGTGGCAACTCGAAAACGGAACCTGGATAGCTTACCAAAAGGGCGTTCCCTTCGCGTTTGGTCCCGTGCCGCTAGGAACCCAAGCGTTCCGCAAACTTCGCCTTCGCAACCTGGGTGGGACAAACCTCACCACTTCCGTCTCTAAGCCCCCCGTCTCTGGAGCTCTAGCCGCGGTGAACCCGCTCGGTTCGATCCCCGAGGGCTCCCAGGTGGCGCCGAACGGTAGTATCGAGGCAACACTCATCTGCTCACCGCCAAAATCACAAGTTAACGAAGACCCGACTACGCTCACGGCTGTCTGGACTATGAATAACAATGACGCTTCGTTTGGAAAGACTGAGATTGACTTCACCTGTACTGGCGCGTCGAACCAGGTCGGACCGTTGGACGAAAATGGACAGGCTTGGTATAGGTATCTGGGGTGTTTTAAGGACGCTAATCCGAATAGGAACCTTGAGGAATTGTTATACTACAGTGTCAACAACACGAATGGGAGGTGTCAGTTCGATTGCATGAATCACGCGTCACAATTTCCATATGCCGCAACAGAGTATGAGGGAGAGTGTAAGTAGTGACCTTCATATCGTGTCACTCGGAGGGGACTAACTCTGCGGAATGGATAGGTTGGTGCGGGACTAAAAGGGCCATAGAAAAGGTTCCGGACACGTTCTGCCAATACCTCTGCAAAGGTGACTTTAGGGAGTACTGTGGTGGCGATGGAGCCTACATGAGCTTGTTCGGAGACAGGAGAAAGGTTGGAAATTTTTCCACCACCAGCTCCAGCATGACCTCAACAACCTCGACTCCAGCTTCGTCAACTTCAACTCCATTCCCCACCACTACGGCTGGAAACTCTAGCGTTACCACAACTTCCACTGGTACGAGTGCAACAATTTCCCCAACAGCGCCCGCAAACTTGACGTACCTTGGCTGCGCAAACGAGGGCACAACCGGCCGTGCCCTGGCGAAAGACGCGACGGCAGATCCCCTCATGACAATCATCCTCTGTGCAGCGTATTGCACGAACAAGGGCTACCCACTCTCAGGCCTCGAGTATTCTACCGAATGCTACTGCGGTAGCGTTCTAGAAAACGGGTCTATGATTGGCGGGTCGACAGCCTGCAATATGCCCTGCGGCGGCGATGCCGCGACGATATGCGGTGGGCCCGGAGCGCTGTCGGTGTATAACAACACGGCACTCGTACCGCCCAAGCAGCCAGTCATTGTACCAAGCGTAGGGAATTACAAGTCTTTGGGATGTTACACTGAAGGGGTAAATGAGCGCGCTCTAGCGGGAGCCGGAACTGCCGCGGCGGATATGACGGTGCAATCTTGCGTGGCGTACTGTCTCGCAGGTGGATTCAAGTATGCCGGCATAGAATACTCAACCGAGTGTTTCTGTGGTGGAGCGATCGCAACGACGGCCAAAAGTGCTCCAGCATCGGAGTGTAATATGCTCTGTGGGGGTGACAAGTATGCGTACTGCGGTGGGCCGGGTAGGTTGAATGTTTACGGGAACTTGAACGGGACTGTCACGAGTGTTCCCCCTACGAGTACTGCAACTTCTACATCGATCACCTGGTCTGTTAATGGGACTTCTACCAGCACTACATCAACCAGCACCTCTACACCGACACTCCGGCCTGGATACAGGTACCTTGGATGCGCAAATGAAGGTACCAACGGGAGGGCTCTTGCAAAAGATGCTACGGCAAGCTCCACCATGACTACGAATATGTGTCAAGACTACTGCACCGGCAAGGGCTACCCTCTCTCCGGCGTTGAATACTCGACGGAATGCTACTGCGGCAGTGTCCTCGAGAACGGATCCACGATCGGAGGGTCAACGGAGTGTAATATGCCATGCGGTGGCGCCCCAAACTTAATCTGCGGTGGTACTGGCGCCCTTTCGGTCTACAACAACACTGCACTGGTAGCTCCCAAGCAACCCGCCGTGGTACCAGCTGTCGGGAGTTATAAATCCCAAGGATGCTACACAGAAGGTGTCAACGAACGTGCTCTCGCAGGCTCCTTGACCGCTAATTCCAACATGACCGTCCAGTCCTGCGTCAGCTTCTGTCAATCGGGAGGATATAAGTACGCCGGCATAGAGTACGCGACAGAGTGCTTCTGCGGTGGCACTATCGCAACGACGGCTAAGACTGCGCCCGCATCGGAATGTAACATGCTCTGCGGAGGAGACCAATTCGCATACTGCGGGGGTCCAAGCCGATTGAATGTTTACGCGAACTTGAATGGGACAACTGGCACCTCTTCCTCTGTCACTTCTGCCATAAGCTCTACTACAGGCGGGTCGGTCTCTAGCACCGCCACGACTACTACTTCCACGAGCTCAACTACCAGTACTTCCGGGACTTCAACCCCAACTTTACGTGCGGGGTACACTTACCTCGGCTGCGCGAATGAAGGCACCAACGGCCGGGCGTTATCGAAGGATGCCACTGCAAGCTCAACAATGACCACCACAGTCTGTCAAGACTACTGCACGGGCAAGGGCTACCCCCTCTCCGGCGTCGAGTACTCCACAGAGTGTTACTGCGGAGATGTCCTCGAGAACGGGTCCACCATCGGGGGCTCAACAGCTTGCACCATGCCATGCGGTGGTGCCCCCAATTCAATCTGCGGCGGACCGGGAGCGTTGTCGGTATACAATAACACGGCACTGGTAGCACCGAAGCAACCCGCCGTTGTCCCCGCCGTCGGGGATTACAAGTCTCAGGGATGCTACACAGAGGGTGTCAACGAACGGGCTCTGGCGGGACCTGGAACGGCTAATTCGAACATGACCGTCCAGTCCTGCGTTAGCTACTGTCAAACTGGGGGTTACAAGTATGCAGGAATCGAGTATTCGACCGAGTGCTTTTGTGGAAACTCCATCGCGACAACAGCCAAGCCTGCGCCGGCATCAGAATGCAATATGCTCTGCGGTGGTGATAAACTCGCATACTGTGGTGGGCCGAGTCGATTGAATGTATATGGGAAGGTTAATGGAACTACCACCAGCAGCAGCAGCAGTTCAACTTCTGTCCCCGTTACCTCCACCTCTCTCTCGTCGGCCACTTCGTCCGGGAAAACGACCTCTTCCGGCACAACCTCAGGGAGCAGTACCTCCACCTCTCTCCCATCGACTACGTCGTCCGGCAAAACTACCTCTTCCAGCACAACCTCAAAGAGTAGCACCTCCACCACCAGCAGTAGCAGCAGCACCGCAACGCCAACTTTACGTGCAGGATACACCTACCTCGGCTGTGCTAACGAAGGCACCAATGGCAGGGCCCTCTCCAAAGACGCTACGGCAAGCTCAACAATGACACCGAATATGTGTCAGGACTATTGCACAGGCAAGGGCTACCCTCTCTCCGGCGTTGAATATTCAACAGAATGCTACTGCGGCAACGTGCTAGAGAACGGGTCAAGCATTGGTGGCTCAACAAGTTGCACAATGCCCTGCGGGGGGTCCCCGACCGCGATCTGTGGCGGGCCGGGCGCTCTCTCTGTGTACAATAATACCGCCATCACGGCGCCGAAGCAACCGGTTATGGTTCCTGCTGCGGCGGGATATAATCTTACCGGGTAAGTCTCCCTCCTTCCATACTTTCAGTTTATTGCTGGCGAGTGCTAATTGGTGATGCTTATAGGTGTTGGACGTAAGCGCATACCTTACACCCACCTTCTCCCAAAATATAGGCCATGCTAACTATCAATAGTGAAGGAACGAATGAACGCGCCCTTGCCGCCAGCGCAACCGCCTCGGCGAGCATGAACGTGACCATGTGCGTCAACTTCTGCAAGTCCGGCGGGTACGCGTACGCGGGTGTGGAATACTCGATAGAGTGCTACTGCGGCAGTACGATCGCAGGAACGGCGAAGAATGTGTCAGTGTCGCAGTGTAACATGGTTTGCGGAGGAGATGCGGGGGCGTATTGTGGCGGGTCAGGGAGATTAGGGATTTACTTTGGTGGTAGTGGTGGGGCTGCCGCAGCGGCGCAGGCCGCAGCAGGGATAGCGGGGATTGCGAGTGGATCAACAAATAGCAGCAGTTCTTCATCTTCGGCGGTGTCGGGTTCATCAAGCAGTAGCAGCAGTTCCTTTTCCATAACATCTGCTTCAACGAGTACAACGAGTACCCACAGCTCAAGCGCAAGCTCAACCACTAGCGGTGCCTCTTCCTCCTCCTCATCAACCACCTCCACAGCACCAACCTCAACACCGAGCACTTACACCTACCTCGGCTGTGCAAACTCCACCTCCCCACCAGCATTAACAGGACCCTCTACCACCTCCTCGACTTCCTTAACACCCTCCACCTGCCAGGACTTCTGCACATCAAACAACAACACGCTAAGCGGCCTAACACCCTCAGCCTGCTCCTGCGGCACGGCCCTCCAAAACAACAGCACCCTAACCGCCACAACCTCCACATCATGCCCCTCAAACCACATCTCAATCTACAACTCCACCCTCGAAATCCCGCCGACACTCCCGCACGTGGTGCACACGTACAACTACACCGCTTGCTATATCGACCCCGCACCACCCGGGAACTTACTCACCGGGTTCGTGTTCGCAAACGAGTCGCTCACGCTTGAGATATGCGTTGGGGAGTGTAAGGCTCGGGGATGGGGATGGGCTGGTGTGAGCAATGGACAGGAGTGCTCGTGTGGCGTCGGGGAGAAATTGGGGAATGCGACGAAGGTGGGGAGTCAGGAGTGTATGAGTGTTTTGTGCCCCGGGGATCGGAGGGAGTGGTGCGGTGGTAGCGCGGATAGGCTTGCTGTCTGGCGGGATGTTTGGGGGTTGTAAGGATTTTATTTATTTATTTTTATTTTTAGGAATCATGATTATGGGAGTGATGGGATTAATGGGATGAATTTTTAATGTTTTTTTTTGTATGATATTGGATTTAATATACGTCTTTTATTGTTTTTTTTATTGTTTTTTATTAATACTTTACGTTGTGCGGGACTTGTCTCCAAGACCGTTGCATCGCCTGGAACATTCATTGGCACGGAATCTCGCCAATCATGCCGGTTCCCTAAATCCCCGCTACTCAAGTACTGTGGGGGGAAAAAATGTGTTTGTTTTTCTTTTGTTTGAAACTTGAGTTTGGTTTCTGTAATGGGGGAAAAGGGAATTTCCCCCCTTCCCTGTCAAGCAAGCAAACAGAACGGAGAACATCAGACTATCGAAGAATGAACCTGTGGATGAGAGACAAGGACAACATACGACTAACGAAGTTTGTACCTATGTTTGGGAATTTACCCTCGTGTGTTCTTTCCTTGTCTTTGCATTAATTTAATTTGTACAGACCTCTTTCAGAATACTTTTTCGTCCGTGAGGGGTGGATTTGCCTGTTCAATTTGCAAGTGAGTTAAGCTTACCTGTTTTGTGTGTTTGGTTTTCCGGCCCTGATCCGTTCCCTTTTTAGTACTTAGTACGGTACCCGAGCACGTGAATGTATTCCCATAGACCTATGATACAAGTAGACAATCGAGAGGGTCTATGATGCGGGTGGAAGACGCAAGCTGGAGCAGACCCGACGCGATATCATACTCGTGCCGAGGTTGTGGCTGTCTAGCCACAACCCGCTCAAGCTTGCAACTCAACCTCAGTGCCCAACAGCTCAACGCAATTACGGTATTGTACTGTACAACTTTTGTGGCTCAGCATCACAGTGTGGCTTAACATCACTTTACCTCTTAATGTAACTTTATCGTTAGGTTTCATATATGCTTATTATAACTCCATTTATGATACCCCTAGAATATATAGAAGAGAAATGTCTAAACTGAAGATTAGAGAGATAGTAAATTATCATACAGTGCACCCACATACACCCAGTGTTACCCGATTCTACAACTGGCGCTCGGACCCGGTGAAAGAGCTGTGTGTGCTGCGCTGGTACGGTGGGATAGCATTGGCGCTTAATGAGGTGGGTAAACCTGCTCCTGCTACCGATGCCATATGTGCCGCACTCATACTGTACTCGAGTACATCCACAAGGATAGGTAAGGATTGGTGGCACGTTGTTGCTACAATTTTGCGGGAGATTGATTGGACTCTCCCACGGTACCCGTCGTGTTTCACAAGGACCCGGCTTCGCTTCGGCCTCTCGGAATTCCTGTATTCTACCAACTCCATCATCATCCATCTACCGCAATATCCTGAACGCCAAAACGAGGAAAATGTCCCGATCATTCAGTAATAATATCAACTCTTTGAACACAACTGTTAACGTGTCGCAAAACTTCACGGTTGCTGATGACCGGTCTAATATCTTAGCGTGGTTATCCCCACTTGACCCCAGATTACGCCATCAGGACATTCAGGACCGCCGGGTTGAAGAGGTAGGGGAATGGCTCCTGCAAACTGAGGAGTTTAAAAGGTGGTACGACGGTAGTGGGGGAGGCGAATCCGATAACGCGGTTTTGTTTTGCTACGGAGATCCGGGGGTTGGAAAAACCTTTATCAGGTAGCAAGGGCGAACCTGGGGGAATTGAAGAGAAAGGGCAAGTGCTGGCGAGCCGTGGTGCTAGCTCATTGGTGATAGACAGCTTGTGCGATCGCGAAGGAGGACAGAATGCCACGGTTGCGTGTTTTTATTCCGACTTCGCCGACCAAAAGGAACAGTCTTCCACGAAAATGTTGGGGGCCCTGCTGAGGCAGCTGGTTGATGGACTGGGGGAGATTCCAGAGGAGATATCGCGAGAATACCAGGACCAAAAAAGAGCTATTGGTGGGCGGGGGCCTCGGCTTTCCGATATTGTAAGGATGCTCCAGATTACCGCCTCCAAAGAGCGCACCTTTATATGCATCGACGCCCTCGATGAATGTGCGGAAGGACATCGAGTCAAACTACTTGATTCACTAAACCAGATTCTCCTTGGGTCCCCGGGAACTCGGATATTTGTGACAGGAAGGCCGCACGTTCTACCGGAGATCGGAAGGCGTCTTGCCGGGAGAGCGACGACTATACCCATCACTCTCAAGAGAGATGATATCATTAGATATCTTAATACTAGGCTGGACGGTGACACATTCCCTGATGCGATGGACAGCAGTCTGGCGGCAGACATCCTGAAGAAGATTCCTGAAAATATCTCTGCAATGTAGGTAGGACCAGTGACAGTGAGGAGGCTACCTCCGGTTATCCGCTAACGGATACATCTCTAGATTCCTGCTCGTATCGCTAAATATCGATGCGGTCCTACAAGAACCCACAATTCATCGCAGGAGACAAAAGCTGAGCGCAATGACCGATGGCTCAGGGCTGGGGGATGCTTATGGCGCAACGCTAGGTCGGATAAAGGGGCAAGGTGGGGAGAAATCGAGGCTCGGCATGGCCGCTTTGATGTGGCTCTCTCACTCGGAGCGGCCCTTGAAGCCCGACGAACTGTGCCACGCCCTAGCGGTCGAAATTGGGTCGCCGAATCTCAATACCGACCATGTTCCTTCAATCGGGACCCTGCTAGCCTGTTGTCAAGGACTTGTTGCCGTCGATAAGGAGGCTTGCACGGTCAGGTTAATTCACTTTACCCTACAAGAGTACCTCCGGGCTCATCCCGAGATTTTTGGTGCAGCTCATTCGACAATGGCAGAAACCTGCTTAAGTTACCTGAATTTCCCGCAGGTCGATGACCCTTTGATTGTGATCTCTCCAGATATCTTTCCATGTATCTCTCCAGATTTCCAGGACAGGCCTTTTCTCCGATATTCTTCTCTATATTGGGGAATTCACGCGAAGAAGGATCTTTCGGATTGCGCGAAATTGCTGGCACTAAAGCTTTTTGAACACTATGGCAACCACATATCAGCTCAAATTCTCGTGAAATCACAGGAGTTGTCCTGGTATTTCGATTATGATGAACCTTCCCTCTTCAGTGGTCTGCACTGTGCATCCATGTTCGGAATTGTTGAGTTGGTGGTTAGTTTGGTAGAGATGGAGTGTTGTGATATTAACCAAAAAGATGGCACGGGTGCCACACCTCTCCTATTGGCCGCTCGTTACGGGCACGAAAGAGTGGTGGAAATACTACTCGGCCGGAACGATGTCGACCCAAACGAACGAGATGAGGACGGTGAAACACCACTCTGGTACGCAATTGATGAAGGACGCGCAGAAGTAGTAAAAATGCTCCTCAGACATGAAGATGTTGATCCCAACGAGCAGGATTCCTTGGGCCAATCACCAGTCTGGCAGGCTGTTGATCGTGGTTCCGAGGAAATAGTGAAAATACTACTTGGACGGGATGACGTCGATCCCAACAAAGCAGATGAGAGCGGCCAAACACCACTCTGGTGTGCTATTATGAATGCCTATGATAAAATATTTGAAGCGCTGCTCGGGCGGCTTGATGTCAACCCGAACGAGCGAGGTGAGGACGGCCAAAAACCACTCTGTTTGTTTATTGAGGATGGGGATGAGGAAATGGTGGATATACTACTCGAACTGGACGACGTCAACCCCAACGAGCCAGATATCCTTGGCCGGACACCACTCTGTTGCGCTGTTAAGAACGGCGAAGAGGGAATGGTGAGAGTACTGCTTGGACGGGCCGATATCGACCCCGACAAACCAGATAACAACGGTCAAACGCCGCTCTCTCATGCTGCTCAGAGCGGGGATGAGGAAATAGTGAGAATCCTTCCCGAGCGGGGCAACGTTAACCCCGACAAACCAGATAATGATGGAGAAACGCCAATATATCGTGCTGCTCAGAATGGGCATGTGGGAGTGGTCGGAATGCTACTCGAATGTGGCGACGTCAACCCCACCGAGCCAGATGAGGTGGGCTGATAACCACGTGATAATGGACATATATACCACATATCTGTCCAGACCTCTATGCGTATTTTCTTACGGTATCTTGTCAGGTTGGAATTTGCGAGTTTCTGGTTATTACCTAGCATCTACAGTAGCATCTGTGTGGGACTGGTTATATTGTATTTAGATAAACTTGTGAGGTGTAAAATTCCCATGGCGTCTACTTTCTTTGTTGTGTTCTTGTTGTGGGTCCTCTCCACACGTTTAAGCCCTGTTCTGCAGGGAGGAAAAACGGCATTTTTCTCATCTTTATCACTTTCTTTTTTCCTTGCGAATGAAACATCTTAACACCGCCTCTATTGACTCGTAAAGCCCAACTCACAACCCACCTACCAGAATTCTGCTTCTGTTATTATGGTCGGAAAGGCAGGCTCTATCAGAGTACGGATTTTATTCTCCTCTTTTGGTCAAGGGGGCTTGAGTTCTATCGTAACAAAGATTAATTTTTTCTGTTGAGAAAAATAGCACTTTTCTTTTCTTTTTTTCTTTTTTTTTGTATTTTTCCCCTCTTTCCCCTCCGTGAGGGTTGTTTAGGTATAGATGCTATCCGGCATTACCGGTAAGGGCTTGTTGCTGTCAAAGTCCGAATACCGTGCATTCTAATCTGAGATCTTTGCGATATCTCGCGAGTATTCCCGTTAGCCGGTTTTTATCATATGCAATTGGGTTTGGATGGTACGGTCAGTATATGATCGTGCATGTCGGACACCTCGCGCCGGACGGTACTGTTCTGTACCCATATGTAAATTATAAACAAGGGTTGAAGTGCAGGTAAACAGCACCCTTTTTTCACTCATTCAATCATTCAAATGCCAGCCGGTCTTTTTTGCTGTTTCTTCTACGAGACTCAAGTGTTCATCCACCAGCAAAATCTGTTGGAGAACTGGATTTTGTCGAGAGGTTTCTTGCCGGGAGCACCAACTTGGAGAGAATGTTTGGACAAGAGGATAGTTGCGTGACGCTAGAGCCTTATGTTAAG